TATTCCACTTGCACGTATCTATATCCTCTATCATGCATGAACAACATATAATTCTTAATGAATTCCAGCGCGAAAATTTACATTACCGTGTATATTAACGATATCAGTCGATAGATTTGTATTACGATCTATGCAACATTTTGCGTACGTTCAAAGGTTAAAATTAAATCGCGCACAGAAGGAAACTAGCGTAGCTAACGATCAGATGAGATAGGGCAGGGCAACGAGATTGGTGAATCAAGGCAGGCCAAAGGGTTGAGAACAAACATCGTTAATTTGCACGCAGAATCCCGCTGCCGGAGGCCGAAAGGTCAACATTAACCGCGGTATGTATATGCTCGCCAAACACTCTGCACTGGACCGTGTAATCCAGATTCGCGGTACGCCGAAGTTTCGGTTGCCGGTGCTACCCTGCGCCCTTTCAGCCGACCTAATTGTCTAATTGGCAAATAAATCCCATTGTTTTCCAATAGTGAGATCGATAGGCGCGCCGCGGGCAAGACTTTTGTGCCCAGCCGATGGAAATCGAGCGACGATATAGCCGAGCAGTTTTTCAGGAACCACTAGACACACTAGTGGTCGACACGGTGGGTGTCAGTCGCTTTTGTGTACCAATCTTTTCGAGAACTCTTTTTTTGTACCGCATTCTGACCCTTGCGTATGTCGACTACAAAAGATCGACAAGTTGTGAATATCGTTTCGAAACACCCGGGACACTGACTTTCCTATTATTAAGTTTTATTTCCCGAGAAATTCGAGCGTGAAATATTCAATTTCAAATTCGCGTGTTGTGAAGAGAAATATAATAAATAGAACGAATAGAGAAGTTTTCACGCAGCAAGAATTCTTGCTGATCGTAAAAATTCTATAATTGTTTTAAAAAGATGATAGATATTCATCTCGTTGTATACTTTTAATTTCATAATTTCCTCCGGATCAGATGTATGCGTATTGCATCAATAACTGCATTAAAATCATAACATTTAAAAATATAACGGAATAACGTTATTTGTAAAATATAACTCCGCTATTAAAGCTGTATGCTTATTTTATTAGATCGATTATTTTGTTTGTATCGTGTTATATTACGATGAATAAATATTTCATAAATGTATAATTTACAAGGATTTGTGGTGGTTAGAATCACGTGGACGAGAAACAGTAGGGTGACGAACTGGAAGGAGACTGAGTTGAACGATTATCAGACAATAGTTTGTTAGTGGGGTTCACCTGCTGTATTGTTCTCTGGAAATGTGGATTCAGCTTCAGTCCGCAATCGTTCCTTCTCCACGTTTAAATTGTTCGGTATGTACAACCAATAGTCCCTTACGTGCATGCTAATTAAATATAGTTATATACTTAAAGATTTAATCGTTTAATTACATTCCCTTTTAATTATATTTGAATTCTAAATTAATTTAAAATTAATAGCTCCACGATATAATAAGCTTGTATATATTAATAATCACATACTCTTTCTAAAGAGCAACTTACGTATTTAAAATATAATTTTCAGTTTCTTTATTTAAAGAATGAACGATTAGAAAATTATATTTTTAAAATTGTTCGTGGAAATTCATTTAAATTTATTTTGCACTACAACCTGTACCCTACTACAACTAACCATACTAAAATATAGAAACAAAGGGGAAGAATATATCGGTTTTTTTAAATATATTTCAATTTAAAAAATAATTATCAACCTAATCATACACGATGTTTATGTTTTCTGCATACTCCAATATTTACATATATATTGAATTGTGCTTCCATAAATGCAGAAACTTGTATATTTCTATGATGGCTGAACATTCATATTATGTTATATAAATTCTTTTGTTAATATGTATATTCGTATCGACTTGATTAAAGCTATTAATAAAGCAAAATACACATCATAATCAGATTTCTATCACATCATAATTAGTATGTTACGTTTCCAAGGCCTCAACGGTGCAATCATTAGCAAAGTAAAATTCCAAATTCATATTAAAATTCCAATTCCATATTATATCAATAATCAATAATAAGCCACTTATCTGTAATGTTTTCTATCTGTTTTGTAAGAATTGGATTTCTCAATCGTATTTTTAACTCGAGTTTTCCACCCGTTGGCTTTCTCCCATCCATCAACTATAATAATATAATATTTCTTTAATATGAAAATACTTGTGTAAAAAATAATACTTAACAAATAGACTATTTACCGGGAACGAGTCATGAAGTTCACATTGAGTTTCTAAGGGTTGTAATTTCACTGTTACTGTACCCAAAAGAGTGTCGCTTCTAAAAAATCCTCTGCAAAACAATAAAAAATATAGATTATATTCAGAATCAAAAAACATATGAATATTTAGTACAATATATAATTTAAAGCTACAATTTGTAAATACAAATTGATTTACGTTGTTACAGTCTGCTCGTGCAATATAAGCATCATACAAATAAGATATTTTGCAACATCAATTAATTTTAATAGAATCAGAACATTTCCTATAATTAATTTGTATTTCTCTTGTTTTTAAATGTTTTTAAATATTTGTTTAATGATGCGTTAGATTTATAATAATTTTTTTTTTTAAAGAAAACAAAGAAAATAAAGCAATATTTCTGATTCATAATTTAGAAGCTTGCTGCTTTACAAAAGTACAAAATTTTCATACCTTGGGTTAGTGCAACACAGGATGGAATTCAGCGAGCATCTGTAAGCAACGTACTAATCTATTTATTATTTTTAATATTATATATCAGTCATATATCTAATATAGCATCAAATACTACAATATTATTATCAAGGTTTCTAATTGGAAAATTACAATATTTGTATAAATATAAATATTGACAGTATACATAAAAATTGTTATAAAACTATGAGAAATAAGTTGTAATTTGATATTATATTGCTTTTTTCGTTACCCTTTAGCCCAAACTTGACATTTTAATGCATGTCTTTTGAACGCTCGTTGACATTGCCTTAATGAACGATCTATTCCACTTAATGAAAATACTGCATCATATTCTGGATTACATGCTCCTTTAATGGTAGCTGTTCTATCTGACGGAGGACTATCTGAAGGATAAGGGAATTCGAATATGACATAAGTATCTGCATCTTTCGAATAGTTCACTCCCCTAATTATTGAAATTTCTATGTCACTATCACTTAAATCTGTACAACTCCTGTAAAATAAAATAGTTGTTTAATTACAATATAATAATTCTATTAAGTAATGAAAAATATTATTATACTAACTGAACTATAGTATGAGTTCTTATTTCATAATGATGTTGTGGCGGTGGTAGTGCATCACGTTTTCGAACTATTAGCATATCTAAATCTCGTTTGTAATTCAATGAAAGACGTTCCCATTTATTATATCCAGATACATCTCCTAATGCTTTACAATGATCTCTTGTGCATAAACACCACTATAACAAAATTGTATAATTTATAATAGAAATTTATAAAATAAATAATTAAAATTATAAAATAAATAATTACCTTAATTTGTTTCATTAATTGTGACTCAAGATTCTCATAAATTTCTTCGTCCGTTCCAGTAACTTTTTCAGAACAATCTTCGGTATTGATTACTGTAAAATTATCATCCAATAAACCTATTATACTATTCGCATTGAGTTCAGTTTTTGCTCGTGGAGATAATGGTATAGAATTCATATCAACTGGTAAACCAGCTTTACTAGCTTCAATCAACTGATCTATTCCTTTTGCTTGTCTTAAAAAAGTACGAGCTAATTCTATATCTCCCTCCTTCTTTGCGTTAAGAGCAGCTTGTTTTAATTCATGCTGACGATGTTGTAATAGAGCTAGCTGTTTTTCTGCACGCGACGTCTTTTGATTTTGTTTCTTTCCTAGCATTTAAAACACACATTAATTAACATTAATTTTCTATTATTTAAAATATACATTAGATTAAGATTCCCACGAGTACCTGTTTGTACTCTCGGCGGAGGAACAGGAGTTTTGGAATCTGAAGAAAGTTTATCTTCAGACGACTTGGATTCTTGAGTTGGCAGTATTGAATCTGACGGTATTTCGTTTCTTTCGTTTTTTTCTGCAGGTGGATCTGGTACAGATTGTGGAGGAACTGTAAGGGGCTCGAAACCAGGTATAGTAGGTAATTCATCAACAGGAACAGGTTTTCCACGAGCATGTAATTTAATAGCATCTTCAAATTGCTTGCATATGCGGCCGTATCTACGAGCTTTAGACAAGTTTCCTTCATTTTCTGCAGTTGTTTTTATCTTTCTACATGCCTCAAGACGTTTTTTTAAAGCAGTTTCCAAATTTTCTGAATTTGGTAGTTTCACTTCTGTTTTTCCAACAAATCAAGATTAAAAGTATAATAATTTTTAACAAATTTAATTCATTTCATCTATTTAATGTCATTTTTGTAATATTACATGTGCAAAATAAATTATTAAATAATTACCAAAATTTACCTGCTGAGGTAGCGTCTGCGGAGGATTTTCCCTGTGTTTCACTCTCTGTCTTTTCTGGCTTCTCACTTGATGGTGTAGCAGTATTTGATCCAGGTAAATTTGGAGAAGTTGGCATATCTGATAAATCAACTGTTTCTCCTGCATTTACTGCTGCGATAACTATATCAAAATGTTTTGCTATATTTAGATATTGGAGGGCCTCTTTCATGTTACCAGCTCTTTTCCATGCTATTGCTGCTACTTTATATTCTTGCTGTCTATCTTTTAATAATTTTAATGCTTCTTCATCTATACTTTTTGTTGAAACAGACTCTTCAGCAGCATTATTTTCTGTGGAAGTAGTAGTATTAGTCACAACTGTAGCGTTAGTTTCTACTAAAAAGTATATTATATGATTATAAAAAGCAGTTCATGACAAAACAAGGAACACTATCTGTATTATAGAATACCTGTAGATTCTGTTTTACTAGGTTCTGGTACTACTGCAATTGTTTCAGCAGTAGCATGTGGTGATAATTCGGGTGGTATATCACTTTCATTAATAGATTTTCCAGCCTGAGCATTACTCAATAATTCTTTAAGTGTTTTAATACCCCTATTAAATCTTCTTGCTCGACTTAATTCATTTGTTTGTTTTGCCTTTTTTTCGGCAATTTCATAACATTGTAATCTTTCTCTTAACAATTTAATTATATTTTCATTATCATTTTGCGTTTCAGGTTGTTCTGTACTTTCAGCTACTAAATTCCCTTCTTTGTCTGGAGACACAGATTCAGAAGTTTCCTCACCTGTGATCATCTTAAGTTCACTCTAACATTAAGTAAAATATTAAAAGTGATATTAATATGATATAATTATATAAATTAGTTATAAAAATAAGGAAATAAAGAATAGAATCTATACCAATAATTCTGGATCATCCTCTCCATCAGACATTTCTTCTTCGAGATTAATATCTTTCATGCTCTCAGCTACCATTGCATCTAAATTTTCTTTAGGAACTGGTTTACGAGAAGCTATACAAATGTTGAAACACATTATAATTGTTCTCAGAATATACTCAATTATATGGTTAATTAATAGTAAACGCATGAATAATGTTTACATACATCTAGATTTTTCATTGTCATCACCAGCTGTTAAAGCTGCTAATTCAGCTTCTAAGTCATCATCATCATCATCATTCATAAAATTATTACCTATGTCGTCTAAAGTCTCTGGTACGTCAAAAATTCCATACTGTTAAAGAACATTGTATTTAAAAAAATGTAACCAAATGAAAAGTAAGGTTATAAATATACGAGATACTACCTGTGCAAGACTGCCAGCAGGCCTTGTTTGTCGTTTTGAATTCTCTTTCTTTCCAAACATATTATTTCATATAATACCCGCTATCATAAATCAGATTAATAAAATAGCACTTAAACGATTAAAACACATTACAGGTACAAAGCGTGTCGCATTAAAACAATGTTCTATACTAGCGTGCGTCATCCATCACAATTCACAGAAGCTACTATCATTTCAGTACTATCATTTCAATATTCACGCATAATGCAAATATATATATTTCTCAGTAGTACAAACGATTTGATATCTCAAATACATATACGTGGATAAATTTATATATATACATGTAGTTCAAATGATAAATATTGCTTCCAGAATTACAACTTATTTAAGGAATTATTCTAAATATCCATCTGAAAGACTTCATATCGAAAAATTATATAGAAAATTTATTAATTTCTTTAAATATATTAAGTGTGTCAAGTTTTACTTACTTCAAAAACTATGATATATATAATATTTTACAATATACTTTGTAATGTATATCTTTCACTTTTTTCCTCAAAAGATAACTTAGAAATGACATTTTATTCATGTATTATGTCACAATTTTAAATTCAAAACAATGCATAATAACATAAACGAAAAATATAAGATCTTCTTATTTAATTAGATTAATAATTTTAGTATAGCTTTCATTTGAAAATGCAAATTATTTCGTATTATTAGAAAATCGTCATTATCAAAACTTTAAAAAATAAAATTTAAATGAATCAGTTTGTTGATCAAATATTCGATAGTTATTCGAGGTCGATATCGCTAGAGTTTGGTCTTTTTTTTTCATGGTTTGCAGCAAACTTCTCGCCAGCTAGTCATATGATCGACACGAAAAAGGGCGAGCCCGATTTCAACTTTGACGTATTCGTATTTCAATTGAAAGTAATTGTGAAGTAAACGATCCTCTAAAATGAAGGGTTGTATATTCAACATCGATGGAGGATATTTAGAAGGTCTTTGTCGCGGATTTAAGTGTGGAATTCTTCAACAAAGTGATTATCTTAATCTTGTACAATGTGAAACTCTTGAAGGTAAATTCTATTCGACATTTACATTTCAGTTTCGCAAACATCATAAATACGTGAAACTTAAAAGATGAATGATATCAATTTATTATTAATTTTTATTGTTATTGCTTCCTACTTCCACAGATCTGAAACTACATTTGGCTGGTACAGATTATGGTAGTTTTCTAGCTAATGAGCCATCACCACTGTCTGTCAGTGTGATTGATGATAAATTAAGAGAAAAACTTGTTGTGGAATTTCAACACATGCGCAACCATTCTGTAGAACCGCTATCACAATTTTTAGATTTCATTACTTACAGTTATATGATCGATAACATTATTTTATTAATTACTGGAACTTTACATCAAAGACCAATTTCAGAGTTGATTCCTAAATGTCACCCTCTTGGCAGTTTTGAACAAATGGAAGCCATTCATGTAGCAGCTACGCCTGCTGAGCTTTATAATGCAGTTTTAGTGGATACTCCTTTAGGTATGAGACCTTAAAACTTTTATGTAAAATATTAAAGTCATAAAATAGTTTGCTTTGTCACATTTTGATTTATACATCAACTTCTATTAAATTAAAGATTCAATAAAATTTTAGCACCTTTCTTTGTGGATTGTATTTCTGAACAAGATTTAGATGAAATGAATATAGAAATAATCAGAAATACATTATATAAAGCTTATTTGGAAGCATTTTATAAGTTTTGTAAAGAAATTGGTGGAACAACTGCAGATACAATGTGTGAAATACTTGCGGTATTAGATTTTCTAAAATTAGTATTTTATACAATCAATAAAGTAACTTTCTAAGGTAAACATAATTTGTATACAGTTTGAAGCTGATAGACGAGCAATTATTATAACTATTAATTCATTTGGAACTGAATTGGGTAAAGATGATAGAGCAAAATTGTATCCACGTTGCGGTAAATTGAATCCAGATGGATTAGCTGCACTGGCAAGGGCTGACGATTATGAACAAGTCAAAGCTGTAGCAGAATATTTTGTTGTATGTATATATTTTGAAAATGACTTATATTTACTAAAAAATTTATATCTCTGAATATACATTTATATGCACATATTAATTTTATATTTGAATTCTTTTTTAGGAATACAGTGCCCTATTTGAAGGTGCAGGTAACAATCCTGGTGATAAAACTTTAGAAGATAAATTTTTTGAACATGAAGTAAATTTAACATTATCACAAAAGTTAATATAGCAGAATATTTTTAAATCTTACTAATTCTAACATTATTACCACAGGTTCGCTTAAACGTTCATGCTTTCCTTCAACAATTTCACTTTGGAGTATTTTACAGTTATCTTAAATTAAAGGAACAAGAATGTCGTAATATCGTATGGATAGCGGAATGTGTTGCACAAAAGCATCGTGCTAAAATAGATAATTACATTCCAATTTTTTAATGAGTTTCCCGATATTTTGTTGATCATTTATATTTAACTATGCAACAATATCATACAGAAAAAAATAAACTTTCATTTTTATTTTCATTTCTTGATTGTGAATAACTAATAATTCTACAGTATTTCGTATTATGGATAAAAAGAAAGTGTAAACTGATAAAAATATATAATTATTTAATTAATTAAAATAAAAAGATGACTATGTGTCTAGCCAAACTGAACAGATGTAATTATTTAGTATTATTGTCATACATAACAAGAGTTTACATAACATTACATAAATGTACATAGTGTATTTTATTGTAGATCAGTATATATTATGTTTGATATTATCTGATGTTGTAATTATTGACTCTATTGTAATATAAAATAATATATAATGCATTCCATAGATTTAAAATATTCAATTCAAATAATAATATCTTATAAATTAAATCTTTTCATTTTTCTTCATTTTTTCCCAAAACATTAAAACATACAAGTAACATGCACACGATACTTTTATAGTCAATTACATATCAAAAACAAATATTTAATCAATCGATCAAGTGTATCCATATAATGAAAAATATAAATAACTTATTGAGAAAATACTTACAATACTTTTATTTCTAAAATGTTTATATTTTGCATGTTTCTAATAACGAAGCAGTATTTAATTTAATAAATTATGTAAT